AACCAAGATAGGTCAACAAACCATTTTAAGCCGAAGCGAACAGGATTTGCTAAATTTACTTTTGACGTTCACTCTTAAATCATATTTTCTTCAGATCCTCAAAATAAGATTGGATCGGCTTGTTTTAAGACCTTTCAATCTCGAAAGAAGGAATACGAGTCTTATTATAAGAAATGTGTCTTCCTTGGATCTTAATTTGAGGAGACAAGTTTCTGCGCCATTGTTTTAAGACCTTCTACTCTCAAAGCAAGAAATGAGAGACTTGTTACCTTAATTTACGGGGACAGGTTTTTCATCTTATCTTGTGAAAAAAAAAACAAACAAACAAAAAAACTGCCCAATGCAAAAGTAATTTTTGTAAATCAATGCAAGCAATTGAGATTAATACTTGTCAATGTATATATATATCTATATATAAATATACTAGCATAGAGACTATAATGTATTACAACAATCAGCAACCTGTGGTCAAATTAATTTTTTTTTAATCATAAACCCAACAATTGAGCAAGAGCTGGGGCCAGTAAATAGAACTTTTGTGGTGATCAGAGGGGAATGCACTTCACTTAGTTATCTGATTATAATACTGCTGAAGGGTAACACCAATCCTAAACTTATAGACACCAAATTTGAGTATTATATGTTTGCAAACTAGATTAAGCAAGTAGTATTTAAAGAATCCTTCATCTATGTTACGTTGTTATCTATATTATGATGTTCTTTTCTAAAACTAACATGCTTTCAGACTGAAAACTTCAACTTGAATAATCAAGTTGATTGATTCAGAAGGGAAAAAACACAACTTGAGCAATGCATAATACTAACTGCAATGCAATGTATAATACTAACTGGAAACAGAAAATTAAAAGAACTGTTGGTCAGCCCCTTTAATTATGAAACTTTATAAAATAAATCAGGACTTGTATATTTAAACAGCAACTAAAAAATTTTCCTTTGCTGCAATGTACATGCTGCCTTTGATATTGGTAGCATGAAATACTTGGTGGCTGTAAAGATCAGAATGTATTGTCACTTGGTAACCTTGAGGAACATCAGAATTGCATATCTTATAAGCTCCAAGTCTGTCACAATATTTTTGACACACCATAACCTCAGTTACAAGAAAAGGATCATTCATTTGTAAAGCATACCATATTTTTATAATTTTTGCAAACTCTGGAAGTCCCTCATCATTCAGCCCAAGCAACAAATAATTGTTTTTCCCACAGACATACTGTGTGCCATAAACTATCACCGAGTTTGATTCAAACATGCAAACTTCCTCAAGGTCAGTTTCATAAAATCGTTTAATAAGGCACTTTGCATCCTTCTCCTTGTCTCCATATAGTGCCTTGGCCTTTCCTAAGTGAAAATCATTCTTAAACAAAGAACACGGATCATCATCATCAATTGGTAACATATCAGCACATTCCATATGCTGATGTCGTTTTGCAAGAGAAAGAGGGAGGTTCTTAAAATTTTTAAGCCTCCTTGCAATGTCCTTAAAGTAAGCATGTTTCGCTTCAAACCTCATGCACCATGTCCTAATGAGAGGACCAAACATCAATAACTGAGATGGTAAGTGTACTAAGTAGTGTTGTTTTGGTAAAATTCTTGCCCCATAGGTTTCTTTAAAAAGAGTCAAATGTTCTTTTATGATTCGCTTAAGGTTTAAAACTGCATTACAGCTTATCTTCTGTGAAAAGCAGATTCCCATTATTTCAAGGAGGGACATAAAGCATTTCCAGTGGGGACTATCCTCGTCTGTGATGTCTTCCAAAACAAGAGGAAGAATTCTTGAAAGCTCCCACATCTGCGCTGCACTCTGGCCAAGGTTACTATTGTCTTTAAATTCCAAATTATCTTGTTTTATGGGTGCTGGTTTGTCTTTCACATTAGAATAACCATAAGGGAAGTTCTGGAGTTTTGTGTTCAGTTGATCCAGTGTGATTTTTCCACAATGAAAATAGTGTTTCAGCAAAAACTTAATTTCATAAGAGAGAATTCCTTCTAGGAAGATATGCATTATATCTTGTGGCAACTGTTTAGTGACATCAAAGTCTGGGAAGTTGGTCAAAATAGATCTTCGATTGATGCCATATTGTTTAGAAAAATATTTTTCTAAGAATGGTGAGCCAGCATTTTCAATGTCAGATAGCTGTTGTTCGTGAAGATCATTATCCCGAAGAAGAAATTCCTCCTCTGTAAAATGCTCTTGCATAGTTTCCCAATCTGTCATGCAGTGACGGCACTTGCGGTGTGCTCCACCAACACCCTCTTTATATCCACCCAGTGACTGGCTAGCTGGTGTATCTGCCAGGAAAGCCAGAACAGAGCCATGCAAATAAAGGTGCCCACCAGCAACTTGAAAGGGATATCCATAATCTGAATCACCTGCTAAGATCTTCAGTTCCTCCAGTAAGGGTTTAAGTATCTCATCTATGCCATATTTCTTTATATAATCTACTTTGCAAGTTGCAAATAGATGAATTGATTTCAATTTAGATCTATGCTTGCAACATATATTTGCTAACTGATAATAAAAGAATCCAATTTTATGAACTTTGTTTGTTAGTGGATTGACAACATTTACATCATCATAGTACAATAGTATTTTGAGTGACCTGTCATCTATGGAAAAAAGAGGGTGGGTATGAACAATTGTGGCATCAGTAAAGTCCTCCATCACACCTTGTTCTCGGGGCAGTACAGAACCTCCGTAAACCATATTCAATATCTCACTGGAACCCGACAACTGCATCTCTATAGTTTTTATGATGGAAACATAATAGAAGGCCTCCGGCTTTTCAGTAATTCTTTTCTTATTGTTGCACTTTGCTATTATACGTTTCCTTCCAAGTACCACAGCCCTCGGTTCCTGGATTGAAAAAAACAAAATAAATAAATAAATAAATAAATAAATAAATGAACATTGACAACATTAAATGTACATGTATACAGTGATACAGAAGAGTTGCTTAAACATGCACATCCCCTGCCAAAAGGCAGAAGGGGAGGGGGGTCGTTTTTCAATAACTAGCAAGAAAATTAATGTGATGACAACTACAAATTTATGCTTCAACAAAGTATAAAGGTCTTCTTTCATTCCGCTACCCTGGGTACTGGAGGTTGGTTTTTCTTGCCCAAGGAAAGGCAAAGCAGCAAGGAAAACAGGTAATGGTACCTATTTTTTTCAAAATGTTTACATGCTTCATTTTTATCTTGGCATTTCTCTTCTGTTGTCTTAATCATTTTGCTTCCACTAAAGAATAGATCTAGTCTTTAAGTGGTAACCACTGCATAAACAAAGAGATCTGATAAGACAGATGCCTCGATGCAGATTGAATATTTCTTTTGTTTACACAAAAGTATCCGACGATATAAGACAAAGCCAAATTTAGCTTCTCTGCTCCCTGTGTCTAATCTAAAGAGTTGAAGACCTTTTGAAAGAGCATTACTTGGAAAAATTTTACAGTAGATCAAAGTGGTATTTTTATGTTTGGCAACGAATTGCAGTGTTGGCTAGATTCAAAACCCTGTAGGTGGTTTATTAGGAGCTAATCAGCTCTCTAGTCCAAATTCTTGACTAAACTGATTTATCCTAGTCAGTTATTGGTTCAGCATTATCAAAGCAATAATTGCTTTGATAATGCTCTCCTATCCAGCGGCCTCTCAAGCAGGTCACAAGAAAGACTCAACTAAACCAGAAACCACACATGAGAAGCCCCAGGCTCTCATTCCACCTTCAGTTATTGCCTTTTTCAATTTGAGTGGGGTGTAGTTTGAAACCCCAACCCTATTTCAGGCCAAAATGATTCTTCTTTCAGAAATGACTACTATATTGCCTTGTGAAAGCACAGCAGCCCTGTTGTACTACCTACCACACATTGAAGCTTTCCGTCAATACGAATCCACCCTTTCTCTAGACCATCAAGGCAATGTGACACCTTGTCAAAACAATCAGCTGCACCACGGATGTCATCCAGTGCAATATTA